TCTCTCCTTGACCCTCCCCATCCCATAGCCCCCCATAACCCCTCTCCCTCCCCACCCGTAGCTCTCCATAACTCTTCTCCCTCCCCTGACCCTCCTTGCCTCATAACCCTGCCTCCTGCCCACCCCATAGCCCCCATACCCCCATAACCCTGCTTCCTCCCTGACCCTCCTCATCCCATACCACCATATAATCCTTCCCCCTCCCCACCCCATAGCTCCCCATAGCCCTGCTCCCTCCCTCATCCTCCCCACCCCGTACCCCTGTTCCCTGCCCCACACCCCCATAACCCCTCTCCCCCCCCACCACAGACCCCCATACCCCCAGACAGCCTCCCCAACCGAGGTCACCTCAACCTGGCACTCAAATTCATCCCCGCCGGCTCTGAAGGTGAGTGGGGGCAGTGAGGATGGGGCAGTGCAGCCCCCCCCCAGGCCCTGACCCGGACCCCCACCCCACAGGTTTAGGGCAACCGCCCACAGGTGAGCTGCACATCTGGATTAAGGCAGCACAGGGCTTGGTCCCACTGCATGGCAGCACCGTGGATGCCTTCGTGCAGTGGTAAGGGCTGCATGGCAGCACATGGAGGGCTGGGAAGGGGGTGGGCACAGCATGGGGGTCCAGCCCCCTCCCACCATCTCATTGCTGACCCCCCCCCCCAGCTCTGTGCTGCCTGATGACAGCAAGGCTGGCCGGCAGAAGACACGGGTGGTGAAACGCAGCCTCAGCCCCATCTTCAACCACACCATGGTGTACGATGGCTTCCAGCCCCACGACCTGGCCCAGGCCTGTGCTGAGTGCACCCTATGGCACAGGGATGCCTTCGCCAAGAGGCAGCTGGGGGGGCTACGGCTCAGCCTGGGCACAGGTGAGGGGAGGGGGATGGGGATGGAGAGCTGGGGGGGTTCTGGGAGGTCCTGAGGAGGGTCTATGGGGTGATGGGGGTCTATAAGGAGTCTGGGGGGGGGGGGTATGGGGCTCTGTGGGTATCTGTTAGGGTCCTGGGGGGTTCTATGGGGTCCTGACGGGGGTCTATAGGGAGTTATAGGAGTCTAAAAGGAGTCTGGGGGGAGATATGGGGCTCTGTGGGTGCCTGTTAGCATCCTGGGGGGCTCTGTCAGGTCCTGAGGGGAGTATATGGGGAGTTATAGGGATCTATGAAGAGGCTGGGGGGGAGATATGGGGCTCTGTGGGTGTCTGTTAGGGTCCTGGTGGTTCTATGGGGTCCTGACGGGGGTCTATGGGGAGTTATAGGAGTCTATAAGGAGTCTGGGGGGCAGATATGGGGCTCTGTGGGTGTCTGTTAGGGTCCTGGGGGGTTCTCTGGGGTCCTGAGGGGGTTCTATGGGGAGTTATAGGGGACTATGAGGAGTCTGGAGGGGAGATATGGGGAGATATGGATAGCTATGGGGATCCTAGGGGGGGTTATTTGGGGGTTCTGGACGGGAATATAAGGGGATATGGGGTTTCTGAGGGGAAATATGGGGACATATTGGGCTCTGTGGGTGTTTATTTGGGTCCTAGAGGGTTCTATGGGTCCTAAGGGGGGTCTGTGGGGAGTTACAGGGGTCTGTGAGGAGTCTGGAGGGGAAGATATGGTGTTCTGAGGGTGTCTGTTAGGGCCCGGGGGGTTCTGTGGGGTCCTGTGGGGGGTCTATGGGGTTTCAGAGGGGAAATACAGGGAGATATGGGGCTCTGTGGGTGTTTATTTGGGTCCTAGGGTGTTCTATAGGGTCCTGAGGGGGATCTATGGGGAGTTATAGGAGTCTATAAGGAGTCTAGAAGGCAGATATGGGCTCTGCGGGTGTCTGTTAGGGTCCTGGGGAGTTCTATGGGGGTTCTGCAGGGGAATATTGGGAGTTACGGGGTTTTTGAGGGGAAATACGGGACTCTATTGGTGTCTGTTGGGATCATAGCGGGTTCTATGGGGGTCCTGATGGGATCTGTGGGGAGTTATGGGGCTTCTGGGGGGATTAAGGGTACATACAGGACCTCCCACACCCCCATCCCCCGACCCCGAGGCACGTCTCCAACTGGGGTCCGTGGGGCCGCGGTTCGTTGGGCACTGGGGTGCCTTTCCAACCCCCTTCCTGGCCCCATAACCGAGCGGGATCTCCTTCCCCCATCCCCATAGGGAGCAGCTACGGGCTGCCCGTGGGCTGGATGGACTCGACGGCGGAGGAGCGGGCGCTGTGGGGCCGAGTGCTGCAGGATTCCGGGCGCTGGGTGGAAGCGCTGCTACCGCTGCGCACCGACCTGGTGCCCCGCACCGCACCGTGAGCACAGCGAGACCCCCGGCATGGAGACGGAGGGGGTGGGAGGTTTGGGATGTGCCCCACGCATATGGGGCCGTGCCCACGCTGTCCCTTGGGTTGCAATGAAGCACGGCACGCTCTCTCCTGGATGGTGTTTATTGCGTTCCCCCCCTGTCTGTTCCGCAGCCGTGATCCCTGCGGTGCTGCACGATGGCTGCCCACAGGCGATACGCCGAGCCGCGCCTGTTGGAGGGGTGGATATGGGGCTGGAGGGGGGGGGGCACAGGGATCTGTCACCCCATGTCCCACCTCCCAACCCTGGTGGGCACCTCATCCCGGTGTAGAAGAGGTCGTCGCAGGTGGCGCTGCCCAGCAGGTCCCGCAGGGTGAAGCCGTGCGTCAGGAGCTGTGGGAGGCGGTGGTGAGGTGGCACAGCCCCATGGCATCAGTGGGGTGCAGCCCTGGGGGGCTCCGTGCGGCTGTGGGTCTCACCGTGGCTGTGGTGGTTGGGTCTGTGCCGTGCTGCTGCAGCCACTCCAGGAGCAGTGGGTCAGCCTGGGCCCCGGGGCTGCACTCAAGGGATGAGGCGGAGGGTCCCTGCCCCACGGCGGTGTCACCCCCGCTGTGTCCCTGCTCACCACGGTGTGGGGGGAGATTGGGGTGCGTGGTGTCCACCGAGCAAAGCGCCTGCCGTGCCAACTGCTGCCACTCCTGCTCCTTCTCAGCCAGCTGCCGGAGAAGCCTGGGGGGCAGCAGGGATGGGGGCTGGCATTGGGGGGCATGCGGTGCTGCCCCCCATCCCTGTGCCCCACGGATGCCCGGCCCCACCTGCCCGTCTGTGCGCGGAGGCGGCGGAGCTGTGCCAGCAGCACTGAGCACCTCTGGCTGGCACTGCTCTCCGTGGGGCTGTCACCCTTGGATCCATCCTCCTGCAGCTCTGTGGGAGCAAAGCGTGCGGCACAGCCCACCCCACAGCCATCCCTGGGGGCTCAAGCTGTGTCTTGGCCACCCCCCCCACGCCACCCACCTGTCAGCAGCACCGCCAGAGCTGCCTGCACTGCCTGGCTGATGGCAGCGTCCAGAGCAAACACCCAGTGAGGCCTGATGTGGTGCTGGCGCAACACCCGTGTCACCTGGGGAGGGCATGGATGGGCTGGAGTGTCACCATGGGCAAGCAACACTGTGCCAAAGCAACACCGTGCCAAAGCAACACCGTGCCAGAGCAACACCGTGCCAGAACAACACCATGTTGGAGCAAGACTGTACCAAAGCAACTCCGCGCCAGAGCAACACCATGTAGGAACAATGCTGTGCCAGAGCAACACCATGGTGGAGCAACACAGTGCCAGAACGACACTGTGCCAAAGCAACACTGTGCCAGAGCAACACTGTGCCAAAACAACACCATGTTGGAGCAAGACTGTGCCAAAGCAACACTGTGCCAAAGCAACACGGTACCAGAGCAACACCATGTTGGAGCAACACAGTGCCAGAGCAACACAGTGCCAGAGCAACACAGTGCCAGAGCAAAACTGTGCCAGAGCAATATTGTGCCAGAGCAACACCGTGCCAGAGCAACACTGTGTTGGAGCAAGACTGTGCCAAAGCAACACTGTGCCAGAGCAACACCGTGTAGGAACAATGCTGTGCCAGAGCAACACCATGGTGGAGCAACACAATGCCAGAACGACACTGTGCCAAAGCGACACTGTGCCAAAGCAACACCGTGCTGGAGCAACACAGTGCCAGAGCAGCACTGTGCCAGAGCAATATTGTGCCAGAGCAACACCATGCTAGAACAACACCATGTTGGTGCAATACTGCTGGAGTGTCACTGTGCCTGAGCAACACTGTGCCAGAAGGACACCGTGCTAGGGTGTCACTGTGCAGAGCATCACTGTGCTGGAGCAACACCATGTTGGAGCAAATCCATGCCAGAGTGTCACCATGCCAGAGCACCACTGAGCCAGAACAACACCGTGCCAGAGCGACACAGTTCTGTAGCATCAATGTGCGTGTGCAACACCGTGCCAGAATGGCACTGTGCAACACTGTGTTGGAGCAGGAGTGCCACCATGCCAGAGCAACACTGTGCTAGAACAACACCATGCAGGAGCAACACCGTATCCCAGGCACTCACCACAGCCTGGAAGTGGAGCAGTGGTGCCTGCAGTCGCTGCACACCGATCCCATCCTCCCTCAGCCGTGCCTGCAGCTGCAGGAGGTCGTGGCGCAGCTGGGGCTGCTGGGGGCTCTGGATGTAGCTCTGCAGGCAGCTCAGCAGCTGGGCGATGTGCTCCGAGCTCAGCCGTGGTCCCACCGCGCTCTGCATGGGAGAGGAAAGCCCTGAGATGGGCTCCATCCCATCCCCACTGCTTGCTGCCTGTCCCACACCCCACCTGGCTCTCCTGCAGGGCAGCAGTGATGCCCGGTGCCTCGGCTCTGAGGATGCACAGCAGGGTGGTGCGGTGCTGGATGTCCTTCTGCAGCACGAAGCTGTCCCCGCTCTCCTCGGGTGAGGATGAGCGCAGGGTGAGGTCGGAGCTGGTGCTGCTGTGGGGCAGTGTGGGGCACGGTGGGTTGGGGGCTGCCCGTGGCACACGTGGCATCGTGGAGCCCTGCTGATACCCGGGGAAGCCACCCAAGCCATTTCCAGCACAGGAAGGGATGGGGGAAGGTGACCAGGAGCCACACCAGCTCGGCCTTCCCCAAAGCACTGGAGCTGTTATGGGGTTATGGGGCTAATGGGGGGATCAGCACATTGGGTGTTGAGCACCACATCAGTGACCCAGCAGCATTTTGTGCCCCCGCCGTCTGTGACAGGGACAGCTGTGCCACCAGCACTGTGTGGGGGCATCTGAGGGCCACTCACCAGTGGGAAACCGAAATCCAACCCCGTGGGACCCCGGGATGTCACCACCCCACATACCTGTGGCCTGACGCTGCCTCACCGTGGTGGTGTGGGAGCGGGGTGCCGCCCGCTGCGCCCCCCACCCCAACCCCAATGGCAGGACATCCCTCGGTGCTGTCGGTCCCCACTGCGTCCCCATCGCGGCGCTCCCAGCGGGGTGAACCACCTGCCAGGGAGAGGATGGAGGGGGGGAAGGTCAGAGGGCAGCCATGCTGGGACCCCCCAAACCCCTCCCCAGCTCACCCCTCGCTGTGGGCACCCTCTGGCTGCCGGCACGCCTGGCACCAGCCAGGAACGGGTCCTGCAGCAATGCAGATGCTGTTGCCCTCATGGCTGGGTCAGCCTCGAAGCAGCGCAGGATGAAAGCCTTGGCCTCATCCGACATGGAGCTGGGCACCTCTGGGTGTGCCTTGAACATGCCCACCTGCAGGATGGGCTGCACAGGGACCGGCCACACAAAGGATGACATTTCAGGGCCCCCCCCTTCACCCCCCAACCTGTGGGTACCTTGAACATCGCTGCCTGGGGGCTGCCCAGCTCGTAGAAGGGCGGTCTGCCCGTGGCCATCTCGATGACGGTGCAGCCCAAGGACCAGATATCTGCTGGCTTCCCATAGCCCCACGGCCCTTGGTCGATGATTTCGGGGGCCATGTACTGCAGGGTGCCTGGGGGAGGTGGTGGGAGGAATGAAGCCCACCGTGATGCCCCACAGCCCCTCTCCCCCACTCCTCTCCTACCCGTGAAGCTGCCGGCGCTGGGGCTGATGCCCGCCAGCCGCTTGGAGGTGCCGAAGTCGGAGATCTTCAGCACGCCGCTGTATGTGTTGATGAGGACATTGTCACCCTGGAATCCCAAAATAAAACCCCACAGCCTCGAGCTGTGCATCCCCCAGCTGGGGCTGGGCATGGAGGGCAGCTCCCACCCCCCTCCCCACCTTGATGTCCCGGTGCACGATGTGGTTGTCGTGGAGGTAACTGAGCCCGTTGAGGATCTGGCGGGTGTAGAAGATGATGGTGGGCTCGTTGTCCTTCAGGGGACCCCACTTGGAGCGCAGCAGGGAAGAGAGGCTCCCTGGGGAGAGGGCAGCACCCACATTCACCCTATGGGTCCCCAACTCCCCCCACCCCCAGCCTCGCAGTGCTGCCCACCTCCGGGCACCTCCTCCATGAAGATCTTGATGAAGCCATCCTGGCTGATGGAGCCCAGGTAGCGCACGATGTTCCTGTGCCGCAGGCGCTTGTGCAAGGCCAGCTCCTCGTGCAAGGGCTGCGAGTAGCTGCATGGTGGGCAGCAGAGTGAAGGGCTGTACAGAGACCCCCACCCCCCACCCCGGCACCGTTGGACCCACCGGCTGTCCCGCTCTGGGATCTCCTTGATGGCGATCCTCACTTGGGTGCCGAGGCAGCGCCCGGCGTAGACGACCCCATAAGTGCCCCTGCCCAGGACCACACGCTCACCCGACTCGGTGCACTCATAGCTGTACTGCAGGGGGGGACGTGGGGTGGCAGTCGGACCGCCCAGCACCCCGTGCCACCCGCTGTGCCCCCCTCACCTCCAGGATGGGCTGCGTGCTGCTGGGCAGCTCCTCACCGCCCTGCTCCACCAGGAAGGATTGGACCCACTCACAGAACCTGTGTGTGGAGAGGGGATGGTGCTGAGTCCCACTGATACCACTGACCCCCCTCCCCTGTGCATCATATCCCCGCCCTCCCCCCCTGGCACAAGGGCTGAAGCCACTTTGGTTTGTCCCCTTTCCGCCATAGGGCACAATCTGCTGCCCCCATGGGAGGCATTTGGGGGTCCTCCCCAAAAGCAGCGTGGAGTCCCTGTGCCCCCCACTCACCACTGGCAGTGCTGCTGGGAGGGGAAGTACAGCTGGAAGTCCTCCTCTGTGTGCACCACGTAGAGAAAGCAGCCCCGCTCGTCGCTCTTGCAGATGCTGCGAGGAAAAGACCCCCCTCATCACCCCCCCATAAGCAGTGGGGCTGGGGTGCAGCCCCCAGGGCAGGGGGAACTGCGGACACTCTCACCTGACGCCCCGGATGGCTGCAGGTGGGAACTCCCAGCTCGACGCCGCTTTCTGCAGGAAGAAAGAGAAAGGGTGGGTGGGAGACAGCCAGGAGGACACCCCCAGGACCCCAAACCCGGCCCTACCTCCTCCGTGGGGCACACGAGGGTGAGCATCACAGCGGGCTCCTCTGCTGCACTGCGCACCGCCAGCCGCGCCGGCTGCAGCACCTTGCCATGCTCCAGGATGAGGACCTGCAGCCACCACAAACGGTCACCCCGTGTCCCCCCACCTGTCCCCAGGTCCCCAGGGCTGCTCCCCACCGGGCAGCACGGCTCAGGCACGAAGGGTTGGCAGGAGGTGAGGAGGAAGCCCAGCCAGAAGTCAACCAGCTCCTGCCGGGCAGATGGCACCGCTGGGCTCTCCTGGAAGTGTTTGTAGAGCAGGAACGTCTCCATGACGGACACCAGGTACCTGCACGGCAGGCATTGCAAGTGGGGACGTCCCACGGACCCTACAGACTGCAGAGGGTGACTGTGGGTGGCTGTGCACAGCCGTGCCCCCGGCGCTCACCATCCTGGTGCGTTGAGCTTGTAGAGCTTCTCGGAGGCCTGGATGACTTTGCCCAGGTCGTTGGCCAAGATTCCGGCCCCCAGGCAGAAGCCCACGTCCCAGTAGTGCCGCAGCTCCTCCAGGCTGCCCTTACGGCCCTGCAGGCAGCTCAGCTTCACGCCTGGATGCGGGATTGTGACCCATCAGGGATCAGCCCCCCGATGGCAGCAGCTCCCTGCAGGGTCCCTGTGCAGGACGGGGCGCACCGATCTGCTGCAGCCGCAGCGAGGTGTCGAAGCGATGGCCGGAGGCGACGAGGAGGACGGCAGCGTTGATGCCCGCGTGGAGGCTGGGCTCCAGCTCAAAGGCTTTGCTGTACCTGAGCAGAAGCCATCATCCCAATGGGGTGATGGGGACAGCACCTCCCACCTCCCAGGCAAACCTCTCCGTGTGACATGGGGCTCCCGAGATAGAATGGTAGAACAGTGAGGGTTGGAAAAGACCTCTAAGATCTCCCAGGCACTGACTGTGTGCAAGGGGAGAGAGAACTGAGGCTTCTGCCCTGCTGCGGGGATCTGAATGGGAACCTACACACATCCCATGGGGTCCCAGCCCTGGGTGCATCCCCAGCTCCATCCCAGCCTCACCAGTACAGCGCTCGGTCCCGCATCTCTGTGTCAATGAGGCCAGAGCTGATGAACATATCTTTGTAGATGCGGCCACAGAGGCAGAGCAGGTCGGGTGCCGCCGTGTCTCGGTGCTGCACGGCAGGCAGCAGCACTGACAGAGCCTTCTCACGGTCCCCAGCACGGTTACGCCTGCGTATGGTGCTCAGCCATATATAGGGCTCAGCCATAACAGGGCCATGGCCCCCCTGCCCCATGGGGACACCGGGATCACCACTCACCGACTGAGGGCAAAGGCGTAATGGAAGCGGACGTGGGGCTGCTCGGCCACGTCGCAGGTAGGCAGGGAGTGCAAGGTGTCCACCAGAGAGATGATGGAGTCGTAATCCTGCGGGGACATCTCCAAAAGCTGAGCCGGGATGAACGGCCTCAGTTCATCCACGGTTTGGGGGTTGTGGGGCCAATGGGGGACGACGAGGAGCGGGGATGGCGATGCGGTGCCCACCTGCGCATCGCGGTAGGACAGCAGCAGGCTGACCACGATGTCCAGGCTGAGCAGCTCCACGCTGTCCAGGCGCTGCTGGATGCTCCTCAGCTCACGGCTCAGCTGCTCGCCCCGGAACAGCTCCCGCACCCGGCGGATGTCACGGCGGAGGGTCTCCCGAAAATACCCACTGTTAGGGGGCAGAGATGTGGGGCTGAGCGGTGCTACGTGGCTGGCTGCCCTCCTCCGAGTGCATCACCCACAGCGGGGTGGGTGGTGGTACCAGGAGTTGGTGGGGATGGCCTCCAGCAGGCGGATGAGCCGTGCTGTCAGTGGGGCGAATGGCTCCGTGTCGCAGCTGGGCTGGGGGAGCTCAGTGGGGCACTGCTCAGTGCTGTTCTCACAGCACAGCACCTCTCCCTGCGCCGTCACCGTGTAGGGGATGAAGGTATAACTGCCACACAGGTCCTGGATGGGGTGGGGGGAGATAGGGCTGAGTGGCAATGCCGTCCCCCTTCACTCCCCACCCCCCATCATTTGGGTTTTGGGCCCCACTGCCATCATTACGCTCCAGAGTGAATGTCCTGTTGGTTTTCTGGGGCTGATCCCAAACCGTCCTTGTGCTTCCTGGTGCTGCTCTGAACCACCCCTCCCCATAACTCAGCATCTGGGGTTGGGGGTCTCGCTCCCCACATGTGCTGCCCACCCCTCCGAGGCTGGGGG